CAAAAAAGCCCTGGGTTTTGACAACAAACAAGGTAAACAGAATAACAAGCAAAAGGTGGGTGTGGCTGGATAACCACACTTCTGGTAACATGGGGGTGCGGCCTAATGTGGTAATGAGCTGTGCTGTCAGGGGTGTGGACTAATATGCTAATGAGTTCCTGCTGTTGGGTGTGGCCTATTACGCTAATGAGTTCCTGCTGGGCTTTTTCTACAAAAAGAGCCCTGCTTATGTATATACAAAAGAGTGAAGCATTTATGTTAAAATGGGCTGAAGGAAAAAGGCCATCACTTTCTGCAAACACGAAGGCAAAACAGTTGGTTAAAATGCTGAACAAGGGTTCAAATAAATTTGTAATGATTTGCTTTACAGAAACTGAAATTATAAACATAATTGTTTCTCTAAGATTGTAAAAGTGTCTGTATTTCAGAATTTTTTTCAAACTGCTTATCCTGTTGGTTTCAAGTGTTCCAGGTCTTTCATATCACAAAATGTATCTCAATTTGATCTGACAGCCATCAAGGAGGAAGGAAAAGGGGGGACAGGCTGAGAGAACAAGCTCATATAATACAGCATCACACAATTTTATTTTAATGGTAGTGATCTCTAACTGTGACATGAGCACGTATAGTAGTTTCTTTGTCAGTTGAGTAGTTGCATATGATGACCGTTTTTATTTGTAAGGCTATAGGATAGCATTGCCGTGACCAGGATAGCCCAGGCTAGCCCAGTCTCAGAAGCTAAGTAGGGTTGGCCCTGGTTACTATTTGATGGGAGATCCCCAAGAAAGTCCAGGGTTGCTACACAGAGGCAGACAATGGTAAACCACCTCTAACGTCTATGGGATCACCATACGTTGGCTGTGACTTGTCAGTACTTTCCTTCCCACCCCAGGATCTTCTGGGGTCAAGGGAGTATGGCTTCAATTCAATAGGGCATTTAGGGTCAGCTAATCAGGAAATTAAATGATAGCGCAGACAGCATTGTGAGCAAACACACCACATTAAATAGTATTCAGTGAGCAGCAGGCTGTAACTTATTAGCATGCAGCTTGTGGCTGTTGCTGACATGATGTCTTCCTGATGCTGCTTAAAGGTAGTGATATGGTTGATTCAGGCTGATATTTACAGAAGAACACAAATCAGTTTCATTTTGGCCTGTATGGATAATTCCATTAGTATTCACCAGGCTTCTAGAATTCTTGTGGGGTTTTTTTTTTGCCTTCTATTCCCTCCGTTTTCCCTTTCTCCTTAAACCCTTTTATATCTTTTTCTTTCACATATTGCTTGCTTTGCTGTTTCTTTCTAAATATAAACTATATTTGCAGCCATGGGCTAGAAAGGATTTTACATATAGGACTATGGAGCTCAGAAATATGAGAGTGCCGGACATTGTTTACACAAGAACAAAGTTTTTTAGATTAGAATGAAAGTTCTTCGATTTGGATGCGCTTTGGCTTATTTTGCACCTTTCACCTTGTTTAAAGTCTCTCAGGTCAGTATTGCTTTTCCTTTCAAATTAACGCTTAGGAACTGTTATCATTGGGGGGGGGGGGATCCAGCTCCTTCCCACCCACTAGTTCTCCTCGTATTATAGTCCCGCACTCATTTTGGCTCAGCAGCTTAAAAGGGTGGCTTGACTCACAGTTTGTAGTAAGAGCATATTCACACTGGATCGCTGCCCACTTCATCTGGCAGCCCACTCTAGTTGCCATGACTGCTTCGCGGCAGCAGGACCTCTTGGGGTGAGGGAGCCTCAATACCTTGGCTGTCGCCTTGGAATAGGCACACCTCTTCACCCCAGGCAGGGAGCCCACAAGAGCCCCAGGGGGTCACAGAATCATCCGAGACCCCTCCTGTCTGCCGTGCCTTGGCGCGTCCACATCGGGCAGATGGGACACGTCCGATCCGTGAGTCGCCAAAACCAGAATTAGCATTAATGGCTCAAGCTAGCTTTATTAAGTAAATAAGGCATCAAACACAGTATACATACTTCATATAGAGTATTGTAAGAACAATATATGAAAATGTAACCTTTGAAATATGATCCATGCCTTAAATTGTAGCTTCTTTTTTTAAAGTTATAGTTATATATATATGAGATTGTATGCTTTCCCCCTGAGCTTTGATCACAGTATGTTGAATTCCCAGGTGATCTGTCATAGAAATACTTACCAAGCTTTAGTGGCATGTTTCACAGGAGAGCCATAATCACATCTCCTGATAATTTTCTGTCTGAGTACTTGTGGGGGAGGGGTGTGTGTGTGTGTGTGTGTGTGTGTGAGAGAGAGAGGTGGAAAACAGACACCTGGAAAACAGTGCATTAGGGTGACTGGCACTGCCCTCACTTGACCCCACTCCCCACCTTTGACAAATAATAGCAGAAAGGAGTTATTTTGATTGAGAATTGGTATGAGGGGGAAAGTTTAAATCCCCCCACCCCTCCTCAGAACCACAGTCCCAATTCAGTTTGCCTTATCTCTCACAACCGCAAAAGAACAACACTCACTGCGATGAATCAATATGGGGTGGGGAACACTGAAATTGTAGACCACATGAAATCACTTTTCTATGGACCCTTGATCCTTTTTTTACGTGTTGAGAATTGTAGCTATTTAAACATGAAAGATTCTAGACCTTGTGGGTATCATATACACTTGAAAATATCATGGCATTGTGTTGAGGAGAGAATTGGAAAAGAAATAGGAACACCAGCGACATTGTTTTCTTAATGTTAATTTTCTGTGCTTTTGTCAATTTATAAGATGTATATATTTGTAGTCTCAGCAGCATCTAGTTTCTTGTTTGTCATAAGTAGCTGTGAAGTATGCTAAGTAGTGTATATCATTGATTTCAAAACACACTAGAAACAGTTTTCTGAAAATAAGGATATCTCACAAAGCTCAGAGTTCAATGTATGCGGCTTATCTAATAAAACTGGAAGACTTAGCATTACTGGAAGTCTTGACTGGGAACTCACTGAGGCAGGCAAGCCCCCTGTTCTTTTGCAGCTAGCTTTGGCTTGGTTTTGTTTTGTTTATAACATTTGTCTCCTCCTTCTCATAATTTTAACACTTTTTTTCTTTAGTATAAAGAAGCCAGGTCTTCATATAGTTAAATTAGTTAAATGATAGTAAACAGAGTAGGAATACTTTGGGGTCCCACGGGAATTGGTATTGAGACCACTACTGTTTAATTTGTTTGTAAATGAACTGAAACTGGGAATGTAGTGTAGTGGCCAGATTTTGGGGGTGATGCCAAATTATTCAAGATGGTGAAAACCAAAGTGGATTGTGAAGAGCTCAAACCAACAGACAGACATCTTCTTCCTCTTCCGTAACACTGGAAGTCAAAAGCACCTGATGAGGCTGTTAAACAGTAGATTCAGGACAGACAAAGGGAACTACTAGTTCACTCAACAAGTAATTTGACTGTAGAATCATTGCTGGTGCACATACTTATGGCCACCAGCACATTAAAAGCAGATTAGACAGGTTTATGGCTATTAGCCATGATTACTATAAGGAACCTCCATATCCAGAGGATGTAAACCTCTGAAAGCAGTGTTAGAAGATAACGTCAGGGGGAAGGCTTGGCCTCAATATCCTGTTTGTTGGCCTTCCCAGGAAACTGGTTGGCTGCTTTGTGAAACTTGATGGACCACTGGTCTGATCCAGCAGCACACGTCTTACAATGTTCTTATACTGTGCACATCTGTATTGCAAGGCTGTTTAGTCAGGGTTTGTCTTTCTTTAGGTTTTATAAATACCAAAATTTAAGTAGAACAATCATCATCATTGTAGATATTCAATGCATAAGTATAGACATACATTCACATCAGTAAGTCAATATGCATTCCAATCACACTGTACTGGAAACCACAGTAAATCTCATATACATTTTAGTCCAATATTCATATCTTCAGAGAAAAGAAGAAATAAAGTGTTGTGCCATCAATAAAGTGCATCTTTAAAGATAGTAGATAGTTGTCATTTTTGGTTTTAAAATATACGCTTTAAAGTACCTCTGTAGATAAGATATACAAAATGCTTTATGCTTCTTGCTTTTAAGTAGTTTCTTGCTTCCAAGTGGTTATATACAACTGTTTTCAAAGAGTAGATAGCAATAGTCCATCAACGGGATTTGCTAGCCTAAATACCACCGTTTCACCAAGGCTGCTTCACAGATGGACAATCACCACATAAAACATGAAATCATCTTTACATTTCACAGTCAGCATTCATGTCTTTATAAAAGTTTCCATACATTCAGTGTGTTCAGAGTGTTACTCAAGATCAGATAGGATGCCCCTCTCCCCATTTTAGTTAAGTAATAGTCAAGTTATCAGGTATCACCAAAATAAATGAATAAATAAATAAGCCAAATCCAGAGTTTGGGAATTTGAAAAATTACAATGCAGAGAGATCTGGACACAGTAAAGTGAGAAAATAGACCATCAAATTTGCTGAAATTCTGAGGCTAGGAAATTAAAAAATAGGTTCCATGCATGTTGTTAAGTACCACCAATTTGTGAGGTGCACAGATGAAAAGAAAATAGATTGATATATAGGTGATCAGTGGGAGAACATACTAATAGTGTCTGAAAGTGTTTAAAATGCCTTTTTCCTCTTATTAATTGTGAAGGAATTCTATACTCCTGACCTTTTGCTTTCACTTGGAGATGTTTTCAGCTTTTTTTCTGGGTAATGAAAAACAAAGCAGCATTCTCTTATTTGACTGTTTGCAACAGCATTAGATTTGTTTTATGTAGAGATTTGAGATGTAGGAACTGCCACAATAGTGCTAACTAGAAACAAGTTGTAGTCACCTGTATTGAGACCTTGTTGATTAGCAAGCTGCCTCACCTCTGTAAGCATGTAAGTTTTAATTACATGCTTTCATTGCACATTTCATCACTAATTATAGAACACTCTGAATTGTTTATTTAACCCTACATTTTAGATTTGAAACTGTCTTCCAACAGTAATGATTTATATTTTCAGGACCTGAACAAACGTCTGTCACTACCCGCAGACATCAGGATACCTGACGGATATCTTGAAAAGCTTCAGATAAACAGTCCACCATTTGATCAACCAATGAGTCGTCGTTCTCGCAGAGCATCATTGGTAAGTTGATATTCTAGTCATTTTTATCAGTTCCAGAAAGGTAGCTATAATAATCTGTTGTAAAAAGGCTTTTAACACCTTAAGAATGAATAACTGTATTGTGGTATAAAGTTTTGTGGGTCAGAGCCTGCTTCATGAAATACGAAATGGTTGGGTGCATTGGCCCTAAGTATCAGGAGGAGAAAGATAATTTTGTGTGTCTGTGTGTATGTGTCCTACAACTGAATGGCAAAAAGGTCTGGCAATCCAAGAAATAATAGCTGATTAGTGAGACCCATTCTTTCTGGTCATGAATACGTATGGCAAGATCAAGTGTATATATATAAAATTTGAATCAAGTATTTAGCACAACACAGATACAAACCCCAGTGCCATATACATTCAGACAACAGTACCACAGAATCGAGCAAATATCAGCCAGGCTTGTATATCTTCTAACATGTTATGTACCATCTACTGACAGTACATTTCTTCCATTAATTTTGTCATCTTTTACAGAGTATAGTTGCAAATAAGATATTTAAAATGGTAACAGAAACCTTTGGGGGAGAATATCCAGCATATTATATTACAGACCTTGAAGTCACCATACTTCAAAAAATTAAAAATCCAAAGAGAGTTTTCAACATGAAGGTGCTAAATAGGAATAATTAGCAGATTTGACAATGGAGATGAGTTTCAGCAAATTCTAGGAATAGCATGTTGGCTACTGAACATTTCTTTTTCAGTCTTTATATGTCTATTAATTACCACTGGTAGTGGGTCAAACCCCTGCTCAAGGTATCTTGCATCAATTTGACTGGATTATGCATTAATGTGTGTTCTCCACTTGCTGGCTGGCTTGTGGGGGGGGGGGAGAATTCCATCCCCTCACTTGCTCACTGGGTCACCCCAGCAGAGCTGCTTCCTCCACCTGTCTTATTTCCATGGTGGCTCCCCCCTCCCAGCCCTGCCTGCAGCGCTGGCTTCCTTTCCCTGAGTGGCTTACATGGTTTCACTCAGGGTTAAAAAATGCACTTTTTAATCCTCCTTTTTTTACTCTGTCCACTTATACGACCAGTTTATGCATCTGATGAATTGTAGTCTGGTGTACAAAAGTTTGTTTAAATTACTTTAGTTCAGAAAAACTGCTATAAGCAGTACAACATGAATGTGTGACCTACTTGGTCTTCTTAATAGAGTTGGATTTTTCATTTTAACCTTGTCCTTATGCTCACCCTTAGTTGTAGTTACTCTGGTTTTACTGTTGGAATGACCTGCTATACATCTATAGTGCCTTTACCACTTGCTGAATGCAGCAAGAGAGTCATAATGTCAGTTACAAGAAGCTATTTCTGTTAGAAATCCACCTGAATTATTTAGCTATGACTCTGCCAGGTTCCTGTTTCTGAGGTCATAATTCCCTAAAGCAGGGGAGTCAAACATATGGTCCACGGGCCAGAACCGGCCCCTGCAAGGTTCTTATCCAGGCTGCGAGCGACTGGCTTGCTCCTGCTTCCTTCTCCAGGGCTGCTGCTGCATCGCAGATTTCTTTCGTGGGGCTTCCTCAATCGCACGGGAGAGATAGAAAGCCAAGCCTCCTCTCCATTGGCTGAGTCTCCTCCTTTGGCTGAGGGGAGGGAGAGAGGGTGCACATCAGAGAGAATTTTATTTCAGGTATAAGCTTTTGTGTGCACGCTCACTTCAAAGGAAGGGGGTATTCTTCTGTGCTGCTGTTTACTTTGAGACTCTCTGTCTCTCTGTCAGAATCGGATCTCTGAGTGGCATGCCCTTTGTTGAATCACTGGGTCAGACTATATGCTCACTGGTGTTCTGATGTACATAGCTTGCTTGCTAACTGCAGCCTTATCTCTGTGTTCTCATCCCTGCTTATAGTTCCCATGCCCCGTGTAACACCTGCTAACAATGTATCAACTGAGTTCACACAGATCCTCCTCTGACATTCTTCGGATGAGGGGGATGGTTGAAACATGGTTGAGACATGCTTGTCTGCCTATGGTAGATAGAGCGCTTTGCAACTCTGTATAAGGATCCTCCTACATATGGGCCAAGAGATTGTTCACATTTCTAATTTCTAATTTCTCATGGCCTTGCAGGAAGTATTTCAGATAAACATTCACACCATTATAATTGTACTTTATTAACCTGTCTCTATCACATGTACCCATGACGTATGAATGTAGGCTGTCTCTGACCTGGGTGCCCGGCTCGATACCAATCTTGAGACCACATTTCTCCCAAACTCAAGGGCCTCCGAGTTCCTTGAAGTTCCAGACCTCTCCCCGGCAGTCCGCTCGGTCTGTCATGAGGCTCCTGGGGCACTTTGTGTCTACTGTCTTCGTCGTCCCTCATGCCAGGTTGAGGATGCGGCCCCTCCAACTGTGTCTTCTCCATGCCTTTGACCCTCTCCACAGTCCATGGCACAAAATCCTGTCGATCCCACCTCTTGTCGTCGACTCCCTCGCCTGGTGGTCTCATCCTCAGCACCTGCTCTCCAGCATGCCCTTTCGGCATCCTCCTCCGCAAGTCTCGATCTCCACCGATGCATCCCTCTGGGGAGTCCAGTGTGGAATCCTTTCAGTGCAGGGGACCTGGTCTCGTTGCGAGGCCACCCTTCATATCAGTGTCCTGGAGCTGCATGCGGTTCATCTCGCTCTCCGCTCTTTCTTCCCGGTGCTTCGAGGCCGAGTCGTTCGGGTTGTCTCCGACAACACCACCACCGTTTACTACATAAACAAGCAAGGCGGGACTGCCTCCCTTCATCTTTGCCAGTCAGCCATTGATCTCTGGAGCTGGTGCCTCCGCCATTCCATCACGCTTTCTGCGATACACATTCCGGGCATTCAAAACATCAATGCCAATCAGTTGAGCCACTCCCGCTCATCGGACAATGAATGGTCCATCCCCCTTCGATACCTGAGACCTGTCTTTCTCGAGTTCAGTCGCCCTGTACTCGACGGCTTTGCAACTGCAGACAATGACCGGTGTCGCCACTTTTTCAGCCGCGGTCCGCCATCTGCTCAGTTGCTGGGAGACGCCTTTCTCCACACCTGAAAGGGAACCCTATTCTACTTCTTCCCTCCGTTCCCCTTGATCTCCTGTGTCGTTCATAAGATTGTGGCTGATGCTATGTCATGCATCCTTGTCACTCCATGGTGGCCGCGCCAAGTCTGGTTTCCGCACCTCCTTCGTCTCTCCAACCGGATGTTCCGGACGTTGCCTGTCATCCCCGATCTCTCTCAGGCTCGAGGAAGGATCCTGCACACCAATCCGAGCTTCTTCAGATTGACGGCCTGGAAGATCCTGCACTAGACTTCCCGCCTGAAGTGTCTGAAGTCCTCCTGAATGCCAGGAAGCCCTCTACCCATGCCACTTACTGTTTGAAGTGGAAGAGGTTCCAGTCGTATGCCTCTGATCACTCCTTTGATCCCGTGCAGTCATCTCTCTGTGAGATTTTTTCCTATGTCGTCTCATTAAAAAATAATGGCCTTGCATACTCGTCATTAAAGGTCCATTTAGCGACCATATTCGCCTACCATCCCTTGATACAGGGATCCACAGTCCTTTCCCACCGTCTTACAAAGTCGTTCCTTAAAGGTCTCCTCCGGCTCTGTCCCCCTAGGAATCCTTTGGTGCCTTCGTGGAGTCTGTCACTCGTTCTCACTCATCTTATGTCCAAGCCGTTCGAGCCCATGGCTACGGTCAATCTCAGGTTGCTCTCCTGGAAGACGGCCTTCCTTATAGCGATTACTACTGCACACAGAGTAGGGGAACTAGCTGCCTTTTGGGCTGATCCCCCCTATACAATTTTTCATAGGGAGAAGGTTGTCCTTAGACCAGATCCTTCTTTCCTGCCTAAAGTCATTTCTGCTTTTCACCTGTCCCAGTCGTCTGTTTTACCTTCTTTCTTTCTGAATCCGACTGATGCTCCTCAGAGAACCCTCCACTGCCTTAATGTGCACAGAGCGCTCTCTCTTTTTTTACATAGGACTCAGCCTATACGTAAATCTCCTTGGCTGTTCCTTGCCTATGGTCCCCCTCGTGTGGGGGAGCCAATTTCCTCTCAACGCTTGTCTCGGGTGACTTCCACCATAGTCCTTTGCTATGAGCATGCACATCAACCCGTTCCTACCTGTGTCACTGCCCATTCCACATGGGCGGTATCAACATCCACCGCTTTCCTGGCTGGTATTCCGCTGGAGGACACCTGTGCGGCTGCTACGTGGTCCTCGGCATCAACCTCAGTGACCCACTACGCACTCGACGTCCGAGCTTGACGGGATGCTGCATTCGGCCAGTCGGTGCTGTGATCTCTCTTCGCTTGACCCTGCTGCGTCCCCAGGTGGGACCCTTGGGTGTTTTTTCTCACTGATGACGCTGTGTCTTAACCAGTACTCTTTGTGTTTTTTGTAGCTGCCAGCTCCCTCCTCCAACTGGTTCAGCTCTTGTAATCACCCATGTGTGGGACTGCACAGAGACCATGACGAAGATAAACAGGTTGCTTACCTCTAACTGATGATCTTCAAGTGGTCATCTGTGCAGTACCACCATCCCACCCAGCCTTCCCCACTGCTGGCATCTCCTGTTTACCTTTCTTTAGCTTGATGGGACTTACCTGTAGCGGTCAGAAGAACTCTCTCCCCCGCTCCAGGCATGCGCGGTACGTACCTGCTCCCCAGGGCGGGAAGAGAGCCTGCCAAAAGGTTTCTGAGGCAAAGCTCTAGAAGTTTCTCCAGTCGAGGTCGTGCGCAGGCGCCCAACCCATGTGTGGCACTGCACAGATGACCACTCAAAGATCATCAGTTACAGGTAAGCAACCTGTTTTTCCTTCTCCACCTCCCCCCCCCCTTCATTTTGCAATAGGCTCAAACGGGCTCCTTCTGTTTAGTTCTCCCAGAAGCAAGTTATTTATTTATTTATTATATTTATGCCCCGCCCATCCTGCGAGCAGGCTCAGGGCGGCTAACAAAGCGGTACCATGTACCTAATTGGTGTACCAT